GAAGGGTCTGCCACGTACCCGGGCCACCATCGTCTGGTCGGGCGGTGAGGTGTGCTGCTCGTCCTGCGGCCGCTTTTCCTTCCAGCCCTGCGCAACGAACGTCATGGAGAACGACGTCTCGGCCATCTGCTGGCGCGTCGGCCCGTCGTGGTTGACGGCGCCCAGCGTGAAGAAGCGCGGAAACTGGGGGCCAGAGCAGGCACAATCACCGTCACGCCCGTCACGGTCGTCACGCAGCGGCACGCGTGCGCGGCGCTGGTCCCAATCAGCAGCGCTGAATGCAAACTGCTGCGCGTGTGACGAACTTGCACTACCCGTGCGCCTACAGATATGTCTCCGCAATTCATGCGCCGTGACTGTTCCTCCACTCCGCCAGTATTACTCATCCAGCGACAACACGGACATTACGATTAAACCTTAGGCATGCAATTCGCGGTGCTGCGAAACGTTTTACCGGGCAAATTTCCTGTGAAATGTTTCCTGAGCCATGTTGCGTCACGTTAACTCTTGATGATGATTTGGGGATTTAGGGCGCATCGACTGCTAAAGGTCATGCAGCGCCCATAACTATCGATTCATGCAGAGCCGTCAATCAGAGAAGTGCATCAATCAGGTCACCCTATAGAGCCATGATGATCGGCCCTAGCATCATGATGAGAAGATTACAGGAAAATCTATAGCGCGAAGGAACTGGAGCACTTTACCAAACCCGACGATGTTCGAAGAATCCCCTAAAAAGTCGCGTAGCGTGCGACTCTGGACGTGGCGTCCGAAAAACTGCGCTCTCGTTGCAGTAAGGTGGCGGCAAGCGACCAGTACGTGATGCCACGGTCAGTGGATCAGAGCATCGACCGCAGCATGGTCTGTCGCCAGCCAATAGCAGGTGACGGTGCGTAGCATATGTGTGACCTATGCGTAACGGCAAAGGGCAACTTCTTCCACCCTATTGTCCCGAAAGCACGGACTGCCATAATCCAATGCGGGGTTTCACCGACTGCAGCTTGTTGGCGCTCAGCGAGTTCCAGTAGAACTGCCATCGCTTCTGCATAAACAGCGACACTGCGGGGTACATGTCTTGAGCAGGTAGTGGTGTTATAGGAATTCTAGTCCCTGTCGTAGCGCGCTTTTGCTGCCGCGTCAGCAAGATCATTTCCGCATATCCCCACGTGACTTGGGATCCAGCATAGAACGACCGTTTTTCCTGCTCGATCCAGTGAGCTAAGACGAGATTGAATGTCCTGAACAAGTGGATTCGACGGGGAGAAGCCGCTAACAGCCAGCAGGCTGCTCAAGGAGTCGGAAAGAATTAAATGCAGATTGCTATCGTCCACTTCAATAAAACAGAGAGCTTTGCTAATGGCTATAAGCTCGGAAGTGTAGACCGACGCGTGTGAAGGCAGTGTGAATGACCGTGTGGTCGATCCGCACACAAAAGCGCACCCTACACCTGCATCCGTCTTCGAACCATCTGTATAAGTCATCTTGTACCCGTCAAAGGAGGCCATGTGCTCTAAAGCTGCGCCTTTGAGTTCCGCCATGAGGACATGTTGCTTTTGCATATTTGATAGAGACATCCACTCTTGGCGATGCTAGCTCCCAAGGAGCAGTCTCCATGGGTTTAGGTCTGATGACACGCCGTAGGTTCAGGCCGCTCGCATCTAAAAGCTCTCTCATTCGTACACAGAAGGGAGAAGTTTTAGGTGACCGTTGACGTAGGAAAAGCCTTCGTAAGCTACGCGAAAACACTGCTTTGTAGGTGGGATGATCTGGGAACTGCGCCAGCTTGCACGTGTAGCGCAGTCCCAGCATCTGCCTTCGCAATGCTAGTGGGGGCTCGTGAGCCTCCACCAGAAGACTGTCTATGGGCGATGTCCGAAAAGCCCCTGTGGCGATACGGAGTGCGGCGTGATGCACCGTGTTCAGAGTACGTTTGATCAGGTCTGATGAGCTGTCGTAGATAAAACAGCCGTAGTCAAGTTTTGAACGAATCAGGGAGCGGTATAGGAGTAAGAGTGTCCTCCTATCAGCACCGTATGACGTACGTCCCACGCACCTTAGGATGTTAAGAGATTTTAAACATTTGTCGCGGAGATTTCTGATGTGCTCACGGTATGTTAGGCGTCGGTCAAAGCGTATACCGAGAAATTTCGCGGTATTCTCATTGGCGACGCGTTGCCCATACAGCCTGATTTCCATATCAGGACAGTGACGGCGACGACGACAGAAATGAACTGCAGTTGTCTTCGATGTAGAAAACCGGAAACCGTTGAGCACACTCCACTTCTCCAGACGTGTGACAGCCAGCTGCAGCTGTCGCTCCATCGTGCGAGTGGTCGATGAGCTACACCAAATAGCAAAGTCGTCTACAAACAGAGAACGGCTGATCCCATGTGGAAGCGTGTCCCCTATGTCGTTTATCATCACTGCGAAAAGAATGACACTTAATACGCTGCCCTGAGGCACACCATTGTCCTGTGGATACCTGTCGGATTGATAAGAACCAACACGCACCCGAAAGAATCTGTCAGTCAGAAAGTTTTGTAAAAACTTTCCCATGTGACCACGGATGCCACAATCGAGTAACTTCATCATAATTCCATGTCTCCATGTGGTGTCATAAGCTTTTTCTATGTCAAAGAAGATGGCGCCGGTATGACGCTTGCTACTAAATCCGGCTCGCACTGCGGTATCAAGAGTTAAGATGTGGTCAATCGTGCTCCTGTTCTTACGGAATCCGCAACTCTTCACGACGGTCAAAGACACTCAGAGGACGCCCCGAGTGCCGTGGCAAAATGGAATTCACTGCTAAGATATGTAGACATACTTAGACCATATATACATAGCACGCAGTGCACATATGTAATGGTATTCACAAGTATTGACAGGACCAACAGGGGATGGTTATTCGCTCAGTGGTGCGATATGCTGGCGGTAATCGCGGTGTGAAGACCCACTGACGTATGATACGCCGGTGGGTCCCCTCCAGCGGCGGGCTGTTTTTTGCCGGTTTTTGCTGTGCGGGACTCGCTGCGGCAGCAAATACCTTGTTAGGATACACTGAGGCCATCGCAACTCATGTTGGGTGTACATGATCGGGATGTACAGGCATCCCGACACATATTACCCGGTAATGAATGAACGCTTTGCCGTGCGATGCTACATAACAGGGGGGGGGGGGGGGGAGGGATACGGCGGGGAAGGGGCGGTTCGTTACCTTTTCCAGCAGGGTGCGTCCGAACTTGGTGCTGGCCATCAGTCCGAACACCGCCAGCAGGACGGTGATAGACACGGTCCTCAACCAGCCGCCTGGCAAAGACACGGTGTGTCAACGGCACGGCACGGCACGGCACGGCATGGGACGGAACGGAGGCACCGCTAATATGGACATGACCAAAGCTCAGATCCACAGGCAGGCCTGCGGGCTATTTGGCTTTCAATCAAATATTGAGCGTTACTGATTGTCTAAAATGCCTTCAACAAAGCCACTGCAATCCCTAGTGGAGGCACAGAAGAGCACGTCCTCATAGTGGTGTTTCGTCTCTTTCGCCAGGCGCCACCAAAAGCAAGTAGACAGGTGGCACGGTCACCGCGCGGATGATTTGACTGGACTGACATACCGTATTGGACACATACGAGAACGAGGGGCTTCCCCTTCGTGTTGAAAACACCGAAGTAACGCGAGAACGTTCGAAGTTCCGGAGTTTCGGAGTTTTCGGAGTTCAAAGTTTCGAAGCACCTTTGTAGATGAAGTTGAAATACGACCGTCCGCGCAGCTTTTTCATTATATTTCAAGCGTTGGTCTTGAGGTTATTCACACATTTTACATGCCAGCGAATCTGTTGTACTTCGATAAGAGCTGGAGGCTGACTCTTGTTGCCAGACAAGCCGTATATCGTCAGGAAATTGGTTGACGTTGGTACTGAACTCCTGCACCTGACCTGCCTGACTTCTTCACACCCGAGACCAATATTGCTTTCAGTCTCTCACACATGTCTTTGGCTGTCGGCGCTCGAGTGTGGAGCTCAACACTAGGTCGCTGAAGAACACGCGGGACGACGTGTGTGTTTGGTCTATGGAGCTATGGACCCGTGCGGTACACGACATGGCGAGCGGCCGTACTCGGCGACCGAGCAGCGAGCGGCCGTGCCCGGCGACCACGTGTCGAGCGGCTGTGCTCGGTGACCGAGCGGCCGTGCCCGGCGACCGAGCGGCGAGCGGCCGTGCCCGGCGACCACGTGTCGGGCGGCCGTGCCCGGTGACCGAGCGGCAGTGCCCGGCGACCGCGCGGCGAGCGGCCGTGCTCGGCGACGACGTGTCGGGTGTCTGTGCTCGGTGACCGAGCGGCCGTGCCCGGTGACCGAGCGGCGTGCGATCGTGCCCGGCGACGACGTGTCGAGCGGCCGCCGCGCACCTCAACGGCTTGGGACCACCCAGAAGGAAGCAAGGTCCACGGCCGACCGACCTTGTATACATTGGCTTATCCGATCAGTAAAAAGGCACGTCTCCACCGGCAAAGCACTCCAGGTTATGTCTTATTGGCTGTCAACATAACGACGATAGAAGGGCTGCATCAGCACAGCAGAGCAGGGTCTGGTGTCTGTGTGTATATCTAAACCAGTCTGGCTGTCTCAAACGTGACTCAGGCTGATATCGCAAGACGACTTACCAAACTTGTGATAGCACGGCATTTTAACCGTATTTTGACTGTTTTTATCAGACTGCATTGGCGTCAGGCACACTATTCCTCAGCCAGGACAGACATCAGCTTGCCAGGAACCGCTCTCGCCGGGGAGTTACGGAAAGTGACATCTTTAGACAAGAAGTGAAATCTTTAGACAAGAATTCATCACCCAGGCGCTCCCAAATGCTGAAAATGTGCTGATGTTACCAAAAAACCTACCAACGCCAATCAACTTGAAAGCTTATAAAGTCAGTTACGTCAAAAAAAGATAGCAGAACGAGAAGGTATTTTATGGTGTTTGGCGTGTTTTGCCGTGGCCGTGATGAACCAGAGCACATCAACTTAACAAGGAAAAATACGGCGTAGGCATATTTACAATTTATCTTACGCATGTCGAATGTTATTCTCATGTCTTTGCCGTCTGATCGTCTGGCAAATTTAAGTGCTGCAATCCAAGTGCAGTGTGGGTTCTAGCCTCCTTTCCCGGACTTGGCGCGGCTCCTACGAGCACCTAACGCTGTTGAGAACAAGGCCAATCGTCTGTTCCCTCCACGTAACGCGTCAGGCAGCTAACACGAACACCTGGCACGGCGCAGTGCATAGTCACTGGACAAAGTGGATACGGGGCCCACAACGGTCGCCGAGAACGGCACTGACAACGGCCAGGTCGGCGAGCGGCAGAGCAGGGTCCCGGTGATGACGGTAGCGGAAAATTATAGATAGTGTGTCTCGCTGAGCCATTGTCGTACTACAGCGACCTCAAAGCGCCATACGGCAGCAGTCTTTCGGCAAGCATCACCACAGGTGAGACGTCTTAATCTCTGTCTGCTACCGAACAATAGCCAGTCCGTGACCAGGCAGGGGGGCCAGATGTGGCTGACGGGGGCAGCTGCGTTCAGCCACCGTGCCCACTCCCATATATATACGACGGTCAGCAGGCCAGCATAGAGCATCACCCCACCCACAGCCTAGCCATGAAGAGCTTACTCGTCATCGCTGCCGCTCTGGCCTGCGCCACAGCCAGACCCCAGCGTCCTGACGGACCTATGGGCTCCGGACCTATGGGCTCCGGACCTATGGGCTCTGAAGGCATTGACCCTGGGTCCGAATCCTGGACCGGAGAATCTCAGCAGTCCTGGCCGCAGTCGTGGACCGAAGGCAGCTGGTCACAGTCCTGGACTGGGGGATCTCAGCAATCTTGGCCAGAGACCTGGACCGAAGGCAGCTGGCCACAGTCCTGGACCGGGGGATCTCACCCGTCCTCTCACCAGTCCTCGCCAGAGCCCTGGACCGAAGGCAGCTGGCCACAGTCCTGGACCGAGGGATCTCACCAGCCCTCACCAGAGTCCTGGGCCGAAGGCAGCTGGCCACAGTCCTCGACCGGGGGATCTCAGCCGTCCTGGACCGGAGAATCTCAACAGTCCTCGCCAGAGTCCTGGACCGAGAGCAGCTGGCCACAGTCCTCGACCGGGGGATCTCAGCCGTCCTGGACCGGAGAATCTCACCAGTCCTGGCCAGAGTCCTGGACCGAAGGCAGCTGGCCACAGTCCTCGACCGGGGGATCTCAGCCGTCCTGGACCGGAGAATCTCACCAGTCCTCGCCAGAGTCCTGGACCGAAGGCAGCTGGCCACAGTCCTCGACCGGGGGATCTCAGCCGTCCTGGACCGGAGAATCTCACCAGTCCTCGCCAGAGTCCTGGACCGAAGGTAGCTGGCCACAGTCCTGGACCGGCGGGTCTCAGTCGTCCTGGACCGGAGAATCTCACCAGTCCTCGCCAGAGTCCTGGACCGAAAGCAGCTGGCCCGAGCCTTCAGGATCCGGTGATGGGACTTCTCCCAGCAGATAGGCCGTCAATGGAACACAGCCCCCACCCACCAGCGCTACTAACGAACCTCGGTTCTGTCCGTGTGTTCGTTGTCTGCAATCTTGTTCCCCAGTGTCGTACTCTGCTGCTGCCCGTGCGACTTTCGCATTGTCGACCCCTCTATTCCGTGCTTTGCCTGTGTGCAATAGATCCACCTTGCGGCATCCTGACTTGACTTTCTTGATAACGTAATGGTGATTTGTGGGATCAGGTTTTGACGGTCGGGCCAGATTTCATTCAGACAACGCTAAGGCAAAACTAGGCTGGATCGTGCTGGTCCCACATAGCTAATATCCTTACGAGATTGGGCACCAGACCAGAGGGCTTTGTTTTTTGCAATCAACATAATAAGTTAAAACAAACCTCGTTGCTTTCAAAGCAACCATGTTTGTGGTGCGTGCTACGTGAAATTGATGACAACCGCAATATTCCTGAACTACCTAGGATCGCATCGTGAGGCCATATGCCTCGGATTATGTCCTAGCATTCTTACGTGTCGAAAGGAAGCGGTATGGAGCCCCGTCATCACGCGTTAGTGATTCAGCAAAGGCCACATAGCGACCGGTGTGGATAGATCAACGGACAACTAGCCAGAGCGAACGGACGCAGTGCACGACGGCCGTGTTGCTGCGCTGAACGGCACGAAACACGACCCTCTCGCGCTCCAGTCTGCCTCAGAACACTACGGCCAACTGGTGTCACACTATTCGCACCAGGCTGCCTGTGGAGCTGGAATCGTGACATTACGGCGGCTGCTTCAGGACATTTCGAATCATCTCAGTAAAACGCTCCAGTCCTCTGGGGGGGGGGGGGGGGGGGGGCTGGAGGGCAAACCTTACTAACAGCAAACTCATGGCCGAACCGGCAATTTTACAACACAAACTTGGATGTGTTGAAGAAAGAGCCTTGTTCTATATCAGCCTCACACAGCACAAACTGTATCCCAAATTCACATCGTCCAAGCTCGTCTACGCAGGCTATTCGATATAGACCGTCGTAACCCTCCGGCTTGGCTGCGTTTTGGCGTTGATTAATGTGAGAATGCACGACCACATCAATCCTCGCTTGCTAACCAGCCAGTCCTCTGAGCGTTGTCGACTGGCTGTAGCTCGCCAAGCCAATCGTGCGTGGCTCGGCACATGGGAATAAAGCCGGGCACTGTTCAGATAGGCACAGCTATGTGTTCCACTCGAGCCCTTCGAGTAGAACACATCACTGACGAAGACATCTTGACAAAGGTGCGCTTGTGTGGTGTATTACACGGAATCATTTTTACAGGTAACCTGTACGGTGCCGAATGCGAAATGTGACGTGGGAGGCATGGGTGTTCAAGCGAAGAACATTGGCTGGAATGCAAGCTGGGCAAAAGACAACCAGAAAAAAGCGCGAACGGCGCTCGTCTCTAAGCTGGAATAGCACGATCCTTCCGTCTGTACGTCACCCGGAACAACGACCAGCAAGGTGTGATCGATTTCCTGCTCCTTCGCCTGGGGTCTTGGCCATGTTGGGTCGTCGTAGTCGTAGTGTAAGCGGATGGCAGACGCCGCAGAGAAGCTGGCGTCTGACCATGTCAAACAGCCGGTACGGTTGTTCAATCTTCTACTTGCCGGCAGCAATATCAGCTCCATTGTTCCAGGACTCGGGCCAGTTCTCCGGATTCCAGGACTCGGGCCAGTTCTCCGGATTCCAGGACTCGGGCCAGTTCTGCGGATCCCAGGACTCGGGCCAGTTCTCCGGATCCCAGGACTCGGGCCAGTTCCCTGCATTCCCGGACTCTTGCCCATTCTTCGCGTTCCAGGACTCGGGCCAGTTCTCCGGATCCCAGGACTCGGGCCAGTTCTCCGGATCCCAGGACTCGGGCCAGTTCTCCGGATCCCAGGACTCGGGCCAGTTCTCCGGGTCCCAGGACTCAGGCCAGTTCTCCGGATCCCAGGATTCGGGCCAGTTCTCCTCATTCCAGGACTCTGGCCAAGCACTGTCCGGACCGGACTGTTCTGGCCCGGCTCCGGCAGGGCCCTGCTCCGGTCCCCCAGGACGCTGGGGCCTGGCCGTGGCGCAGGCCAGAGCGGCAGCGATGACGAGGAAGCTCTTCATGGCTGGTTGGTGGGCGAGGTGATGCTCAAGGCAGAACTTCTGGCCGTTATATACGGGTCGCCTGTGACTGAGCACAGCTGCCCCCGTCATCAGCCGCTGTCCCGGCATTGTCATCCACATGTGGCCGCTCTCTGTCCAGTCAAGGGGTATCTATTGTATGAAGAAGACGGCCCATCAAAGTTGGCTCACAAAAGGATTCTACTCGTCATTTCCTGTTTTTTTTATTATTTTACCTCATCTATTCCATTTTTCGCTCATTGTACTTTGTTCATGTTTCAAGTTGCATGCCTTGAATGTCGCACCATACGACATTTGAAACTAGTGCGCCGTACGGCAGTCTTACGCTCGGCGAAAATGGACCGCTGCCCGCAGAGCATCTCAAGGTAAAGAGCGAGAGACTGTGAGAGACTGTGCGCATGGAGAACAATATGTCCCTGTCCCTCTATCTCTGTCCCTGTCCCTCTGTATCTGTCCCTCTGTTTTTTGTTTCTCTCTCATTCTCTTTTTCTCTCTCTAACGTCGTCCCAGTCACACAACTCCGGTTACGTCATCTCACCGATCCCTTTCGTTTTTCCCAGGCATTCCTTTTTTATTCCGGTGCAATTACATGTCGCTTTAACTTGACGGAATTGTCCTACCTTTCGGGCACAAATCAAAAACATACTCGACTGTAACCTCAGAACCAATTATGTCTGGAAATATCACTCAGTAGTGCCACTGCAGCACCACCAAAACATAATTATGTTATAAATCTTACCCATTTTCTAGTCCAAATTACGCTGCCAACGCTTCGTAACAGCACTAAGCTCCTCCCCTGCAGTCGTGACAACCGTCGTCAAGACGATGGCAGAATCTGCTGGGGCTAATGTCGGCTGTTACCGAATGTCAGCACAAACTAACGTTTGTGATTGACACAGCGGGCGGCAGAGGCTAGGTACCGAGAAGCGCATTGTTTGCAGTTTGAACCAGTGCATCAATTAAAACCATGTGATTCAATGTTTATTACAGCCAAAGAGCGCTTCCAAAAGAGCTACTGTAGTAGGCGCCATGGGAGAGAAATCAAAGCCATAGTATAACTTACTGTTGAATCCGCTCGACAACAGCTTCATGTTCACATATATTTTTGTCTACACAGGGTGTTTCAAGCTTTCGTAGCATTTAAAAGAAATATTTTGATCAATTACTGTGTTGCAAACATTGCCGAGCACACACGTCGGAAAAACAAACTAAATAAAATTAATTACTTTCATATTGGGAAGCAGGGAGCCTAATGACATTCTCCCGCAGAAGCGGCTATTTCAATTCGAAATTCTGAGCAATGCAGGATTTCGAAAAAAACCTGGTGTTCCTGATCAAATCGTATGGGTCAGACCTGACAATAAGTGAACAGTACAAAGGCGTCGCATGCTCCGTTTAACACGAAGTTTTTTTCGGATAAATGCCCATGCTTTCAAACATGAGAGCACAGCGCGGCAAACTGACTATAAAATATCAGCGTGTTTGGCCGTGACTTTGCGGCTAGTTTCCCGAAACCTTACAAAGTGACAGCATTATCGGTGGTCTGCGTCTTTTGAGAACATTCTAAAATCCAAAACGTGCTTCCCGTCTTACTTGAAAAAACCGCGAAACAAGTGGAGCACCATATTTCCAAAGCGAACTCCCGGGTGTGTTCGAGGCTGTATGCCCCAGTGCGTCCGGAAAATACCCAACGGGAGGAAAATCTTCACACAAAACGCAGCACCCTCACCTCCAGCTTACATGCTACGAAAATGAGATCTTTATGTGGAACCCAGCGTGTTTTCCAAATGCATACGGCGCAACACTCCTCACAATGTAATTCGTGAAGGTGCGGTGAGTGAGTGAGTGAGTGAGTGAGTGAGTGAGTGAGTGAGTGCGTGGCGTGCGTGCGTGCGTGCATGCGTGCATGCGTGCGTGCGTGCGTGCGGGAGAGAGAACGAAAGAGAGCGAGAGAGGGAGAGAGAGCCATGATATATGACAGACAGACATAGTCATGTCATCGTTTGGTGAGACAAAAACCGGACAACCTCTTGCCACCAGTCTGACACCAATACCTGGGCTTCACTCACGCGACCAAGAGCATGGCCCAGTCCGCTACCGCGCCATAGCTATCCAATGACTCCGCAGAGCGGCCACATGTGGATGACAATGCCGGGACGGTGGCTGATGACGGGGGCAGCTGCGCTCAGTCACAGGCGACCCGTATATAACGGCCAGAAGTTCTGCCTTGAGCATCACCTCACCCACCAACCAGCCATGAAGAGCTTCCTCGTCATCGCTGCCGCTCTGGCCTGCGCCACAGCCAGGCCCCAGCGTCCTGGGGGACCGGAGCAGGGCCCTGCCGGAGCCGGGCCAGAGCAGTCCGGTCCGGAGGGGAACAATGCCTGGCCGGAGTCCTGGAACGAGGAGAACTGGCCCGAATCCTGGGATCCGGAGAACTGGCCTGAGTCCTGGGATCCGGAGAACTGGCCCGAGTCCTGGGATCCGGAGAACTGGCCCGAGTCCTGGGATCCGGAGAACTGGCCGGAGTCCTGGAATATGGAGGACTGGCCGGAGTCTTGGAACGCGAAGAACGGGCAGGAGTCCGGGAATGCGGGAAACTGGCCTGAGTCCTGGGATCCAGAGAACTGGCCCGAGTCCTGGGATCCAGAAAACTGGCCCGAGTCCTGGGATCCGGAGAACTGGCCCGAGTCCTGGAATCCGGAGAACTGGCCCGAGTCCTGGAACACTGGAGCCGAGACTGCTGCCGGCAAGTAGAATATCCAACAACTGCAACTGCCGTGCGCAGAGGACGGGTGGTTAGGGCAAAGAAAAACAACGTGTCTGCAGCGTGTGTCGCGGATAACGTGTCCTGGTCTTGACGTGGATGTCATTCGCTTCGATGTTGCAGTTCCATCACAACCGTTGGTCTTTGCGTATACATCCAGTAGCCTCTTCGTCCATGTTCTCCCTTTTCCAACCCACTGCCGTACGTTTGGCTTGAATGCGGGCGTGAAATACACAATACGCATATTTTTGTGAACGTCCCACAGCGCCAGGTCGAAATATAGCACATGATTCTGAACTTTGATCTTGCATTTATCATACCCAGAATGCAGTGGCATTGATGGTCGATGTGATGTCCTGAACTGGCGGAGGGGTCGGTGCCCATGACGCATGAGGCATTACGAAGACAATAGGTTTGTTCAGTGGCACATCGTATGCTTAGGCTCTGTAACTGCCATGCATTAATGAACGAAAGCGAAACCTCACTTACGCAATGTTTGTCAAAAGCGGGTTGGTTATATGCCTGTTGCAGTATCATGAAGCTTCAACCGATTATTTTGCGCTCATGCGTCATTCGGGCAAACAAGGATTGCGTGGACGTGTCTTGGAGCCTTGACATGGGCAGTATTCGCCGGGAAAAGGCATCCATCATCTACTTTCGTTAATGTCAACATCAGAACATACACCTCGGCACCATCACTAGCGGGTTGAAATGGATCAAATAATGGCGAGGAGAATTAGGAGAACGAGTAGGGCCGGTTTTGTGTGGTTTGGTTATGGGCCCGCTATTGCTGACAACTTCCGACCGAACTGGACAAAGCGTTCCGTTTGTTTAACACAGAGGACAGCACGCACATAATCAATAACAAAAAACAAAACAAAACATGTACGTCAACCAATGCACAACGATCCGTGCCACTAAAATAAATTCGATCTTGTGATGGCTTGAAAAACTGAGTACACCGTTCAGCCACGTGCTCTACGATTTCCTTGATGAATGAACTGGACTTAATAAGGTAGTTCCGATAGCGCGATAAGTCTTGCTCAGATCGTTCTCGAGCGGAAAGCTCGGGACAATCTGCCCTTTCTGACGAGTGTGAATGTGAACACGAACTGACTGGTCGCAGTTTTCACCGATTTCAGTTAAGATTAAGCCTGAGCCTTTTGAATGGATGGATCTCTGGGATCAGAGCCCACGCAAAGCAGTGCTTGTTGGGTGAGCTCTAAGCCACCCCACTGCCCTTTCCACCGATCGCAAAATTCAGGTCAACGGCAGAATTTAGTGGCAAAGGCTTAACGCGCCGGAATGCTCGACACGACCCTTTCTGCCCTCCGACCTCTTCTGACCTTTAGCACGGTAGGTACCACCGGTCACAGGTCATCCTAATCGAGGGCAAATAGCGAGTGCCTACAGCGACTCGAATGTACCTCGCCACGGAAGGGTGGATCGTAAGGCAGGCGCTCCAGCCAACTGAGCTATCGGGACGGACAAACACCACCACTGGCCATATGTTTGTGCAGCTCCTAAAACTAGAATAAAACCAACACAACCATGGCCTCCCTCTATAGCTTTACAAAGGTCCTTATGGCCATCTAACCACTGGTCTGTATCATAATCAATACTGCCAATGGCGCATCGAGCATCCTTTCAGGCTTAACCTCATTCGGGTATCACTGCTACAAACGCCAACAATCGCTTTTGAATGGAAAGGAGAAACAGTTGTCTGTTCTGATACTGTCGAGGACATATTTCGATCCTAACAAATCCCAGTTACGTCAAATACTACCACTTTTGCGTGCTCGACTGTAACACTCGACTGTAACACATGAGCGGACTAAAACGCTGTCAAAATTGAAGTGCCACTGGGTGGATATTGTCTCCAACTGCGCCTGTGTTAATGCCAAAACTTTGCAGAGCTGGTGCACAGGGAATGTATTTCAATTAACTTTTTCATTCACCCAATCACCTGCGTATGTCGAACACTAGCACATTTTCCTCATTCACACGGTATCTTTTTTGCTCGCAAAAAGGTAACAAGTTTTTATCTCAAAAATTGCTTGCAGCATTAATATACCGTTAAGAAGAATGATGCATTTCATCCTCTTGTTTTACGTTGCAATCATTCTGCAACGTTATGGCCTTAACGCAGGCACGATGGGAAGTCAGTACTACCCCATCGTACGTAATTATCAACGCGTTTTAGTCCACAGCGTTCCGGCAGACGTTAAGTGCAGACTTGGAAATCTTCAGATGTGGAGGGATCGTTTTGGTTGAGTAACGGCCTTTTGGTATCATATGTTACCTGTTCTTAGGTAGACCGAACTAGAAAATACTTTGTGTCGGCCAATTTTTAAAAAATTTAAATGCAGGCAATCACTCGTTCACTTTTGGCCCATGCTAAAAGGGCGAGGCGTACACCATGGCATTAACTCAGGGTGTGCAAAGTTTTGGTACAGGGTGTGTGTAACTCAGGTTAAACTCAGGGCGCATGTCACAAGCTTTGCTGCATCGTTTCCTCTCAAACCTACGCGCCCACGGCGTTTGGTACGTACTGGCCAGACCTAATTAATTGAGCGAAACCTTGGAGCGTTCGACCAAAGAATGCGCATAGCTTCTTTGAATGAGACACTGGCGCATTTAATGCGTAGCCAAATATATGACTACCTCGCGGTTCAACTTCCATATTTCTCAGGAAATGTCTACCCCTCTACCTGTGCGTCGATGCACAGAACGATGGTTTATTCGCCAGGAATCTCGGCAAAAAGGACAGAGTTTCTTAATTTCGAGGAATGCCTTTTAATATGCGTCACATATATCTGGAGTGTACTAGGCCGGCCCCGAACATGCTTCACAACTGTGTAATTTGTTGAACGAGGAAAATGTTCTAGAAAGCGGCACTTTAACCCCACAAAGCTTGACAGGCAATATGATGTCTTCCACACTTGTATTATTGGCGGACTACGTCGCAGCATTTTGGACTGCGTAACTACGTCCCGTACGAATCATATTGAAGCCAAAAGGCTGCATAAATATTCAAGTATAGAGCGCACGTCTACCAGCAAGGACAATAGCGTGCGAATCAGGAAGACATGTCGCAACAATCCAAACTTAAAATCAGCAAAGCGTCGGTGGGTCCGATCCATTCAAGCGTAACATTTAATCCAATGGTCAGGCTATTCCTGGGCAGTAACAGTTCTGCTGCCTCTTTTTGTCGCAGCTAACGCAAAAAAAGAGGAGCGACTATATCCCATGCCATAACATACACATGCCGTCGCTTGATGAATGCAGTGACGTCACATTTACAGCCACTTCAGAAGACAGACCCGTGGCCCTCTAACACGGCGTCAATGTCTGTCATGCTTCCATACAAAATGTGAGCGAATGTTGCAGAGATGGCTTCGGGAGCATAGTCCCTGCTACGTGAATACTGTTGTAAAGACCGCTACAACACATCGTAACTAAGGCAACTCCACTCAACCTTACAGTTTTTGCCGGAGGGTTTTCATGTGTAGCGCAGCGCCCTGATGCGGCCGTCCCGGTTTCGACCTGATACACAGAACTTGTAAACAAAGCCGAACAGCGCCGTCCCGGCTACGACCTGATACACAGAACTTGTAAACAAAGCCGAACAGCGCCGTCCCGGTTTCGACCTGATATACAGCACTTGTGAATAAAGCCGAACTGCGCCGCCCCGGTTTCGACCTGATATACAGCACTTGTGAATAAAGCCGAACTGCGCCGCCCCGGCTACGACCTGATACACAGAACTTGTAAACAAAGCCGAACAGCGCCGTCCCGGTTTCGACCTGATATACAGCACTTGTGAATAAAGCCGAACTGCGCCGCCCCGGTTTCGACCTGATATACAGCACTTGTGAATAAAGCCGAACAGCGCCGTCCCGGCTACGACCTGATACACAGAACTTGTAAACAAAGCCGAACAGCGCCGTCCCGGTTTCGACCTGATATACAGCACTTGTGAATAAAGCCGAACTACGCCGCCCCGGTTTCGACCTGATATACAGCACTTGTGAATAAAGCCGAACTGCGCCGCCCCGGTTTCGACCTGATATACAGAACTTGTAAATAAAGCCGAACAGCGGTTCCCCGATTTTGACCACACACAGAGCACTTGCAAACAAAGCCAAACATCGACGGAATCATTCTCCTACCCATTCCAGAGTATATTTTGATTTTGTTGTTGGTTAGTTTTAGGGCGTGCCAACTTCTAAGGTCACTTTGCGCCCATAATAGCTAAGTGAGAACGCAGGTGCGTAAATGGCTAAAAATCCTACATTAGTCCAACATGAAAACAGCTGAGTCGTGGCAAGAACGCGAGTGGTCACCAATGATAGTAAGAACTGAAGCTTCTCGTCAAAAATAGCGTAACCACTCTTCACTGAAATGTGGAGATAGGTAAATGAAGTGGTAAACTGCAAGTGGCGCATCGCAGCGAAGGCACCGAGGCCGTTCTCCACCGGGCAGAAGATAGCCATGCGTCGCGTGGACCAATGCGTATTCGGCAAAGGACTACTTCCC